GATGTCTGTTCCGAATACATTGGCCTAATGACAATTCTTCTTCTTCTGTGTTTCCTGTGTCTAGGCGTCTTTGGCAGCATGTAACAGCGTCACTGAGGGCAGGAAATATTGACACAGCCACAGAACATAAACACTGCCTAGAGGAGAGGCAGCGCAGCGAAGGAAAACAGAGAGAGGCCACCAAGACCCTCTGGAAACCCAAATATTTTATTAAAGAGGTGAGGAAGAGCATTCACTCGTCCCATCCACTGTCACCATTTTTAGACCAGTGTCTAGTGTAATGCAGGTTTATTTAGATGGTGGTAAACCTGCTAAAAATAGACAATTGACTCCTTTCTCATTACCATTAGACGAGTTTTGCTTTTCTGATTTTTTTTCCGTGTCACATTTGACGTCACGAACATGCTGGAAAACTGGTAAGTTAACAATAGAAAGCATTTGTCACTTGCCTTGGGCTGCAAGCAATGCCTCTCTCATGACCAGAATCCAACGGGGGACGCATTCTGGCTGTGCTGTGACTGCTGGAGCTGATCGCCCCTGTTCTAGACAATGCTCATCATTCCACCAGAAGCACCATGGCACATCCCAGATGCATTTCTCTGCTGTCTCTGCTCTATTTTTGACAGAACCTGTGACCCACCCATGTCAAGCAGCTCAGAGCAGATCTCATTGGTAGGAAGTAAGACAGAAACAGCACAGAGAATCCGGTCAATTTTCTAAATAAAACCCCCTGTGTAGACTCTGGATCAAAATTCATGCTACACCAACATTTTAAGTGAGAAATAAGCCGTGTAGTTGCTCTTCATTTTAGATTGACAGTGTTTAACAATTTTCATAAGTTTTCAGGTCCATTTATTCTGGAGCTTTAAATTATGTCATATGATCTTAATCATCAGATGGAAAGTGCTCAGTTGTTGAAAATTCTATTTTTTGGTAGTATGAGATAGGCAAAAAGCTTCTGACTCTTTTATTCTGTGTGTGTGTGTAGGGTGACGGCTGGGTGTACCACAACCCTCTATGGAAAGCTCACTGACCAGAAACCTTGGAAGCAGCTGTTGACTCCCAGACGACAAGTGGGGCGTTAAGGGCCCAGGGCTGGCCAACAAAGACACGAGGAGGGAGAGAAAGAGCGAGGGAGGGAGAGAAAGTTAGGTTTTTAAAACAATAGCTTATTCAGATAAAATTGATTCTACATTTACAATGGTTTACAACAAAGACAAACACAGACAACAATATGAAACCAAAAATAAATCAATTCAATTCACTAAAAGAAACACATCTGCAAAAGTGAGTTCTAAGTCCTTTAACAGCTCCCTCTCCACACCTGGATCAACAAGAGGGAAAAGTGTTATATAAGTGTTTCTCAGAACTATTCCACTCTCACCAGTATTGAGTTTGTCAGTCAAATCCAGAAACAACTGCAACTGCACTGTTCTATCCTAGATGCCGCCTTTCACATGCAACAACCTCGCCCACCACCAATCTACACTCCTCAACCAAGTATTTCATGCCAACTGGTACAAAAGGGGAAGGCTGTGGTGCAGAGACAGAGCAGGGCGTCCCCTAATCGGAAGGTTGTTGGTTCGATCCCTGGCTCCTCCTGTCACATGTCAAAGTATCCTTAAACAAGATACTGAACCTCAAATTACTCATAATGCTGTGCATCGGTCTGTGAATGTGGGTGGATGGCCATCACTGAGTGAATGTGTG